TGTATATATATATATATATATATATATATATATATATATATATATATCGGACGAGAACCGGTGTTTCCAGCGTGGTATGGTCGCGGCCATACTGGCTCCAGCAGACAGTTTGTCGTTGCTGGAGGGGACGGGGTGGCCGTGTTAGGATCAAAGAGTGGTTCCATGCACTCAGTGTGGAGCGGACTACGGTCCAGCCACCGCCTTGTGTGCGTTTCATTCTCAAATACAGCATGCTTGTGCTTGCTGTGAAGGAGTACGGGCCGGCTCCGTTGATGAAACGTGGCTCCCATCCACATGCCTCCCGGTCTTATTCCTTCGGGTTTACACTGGATATGGGGTGTGTGGATGGAGCTGTGGGTGGTGCATCGCAAGCCACCGATGTCCCCTTTGTAGGCACAGGCGTCCTGTGGCTTGCCACAGTAACATGCAAATCCGAAACCGGATGCCGCCAACCATATATATACATGTGCTCTATGCTGTGGCTGATGTTGCATTCTTGATGCTTCTTCACCGCAGTTGGACTAAACCAACTTGCACTTAAACTAGGTCTCTTTTTAAGCTGGATAAATTGCATTCCACTTTATTTGGTTTGCTATGCCTACCTGAATAATGTTCTATTAACTGGCCACGTTGCTTACACTGATTGCTCTTATCTTCGGTAATTTTGTTGCGTTTGTAGCATTTTAAATTAAGTTGTGGACATTTCTTAATTATCGCGGATTCGTTGCTAACCAACTTACTTCATAGGGTAATTTAGGGAAGAGTTATGGCACCGTATCTGTATTCATTATTGTATTTGTTTTATTTCAGCTTGTCGTTTAAAGTGAATGGCTGTTGCTTGATATCCCCTGTGTGGCTGAGCTTGATGTGCATGTTGACAAGGTGCCTACCTGTCTATTACCCACTACCTCGTTCATACTGGCTCTAGGACACAGTTGGTCGTTGCCAGAGGGGACGCGGTGCACGGTTCTTGTGGCCCTGTTGGGATCAAATAGCGGTTCCATGCAGTCAGTGTGGAGCGGACTACGGTCCAGCCACCGCCTTGTGTGCGCTTGATTCTCAAATACAACGTGCTTGTGTTTGCCTGTGAAGGAGTGTGGGCCGGCTCCGTTGATGAAACGTGGTTCCCATCCGCATGCCTCCCGGTCTTATTCCTTCGGGTTTACACTGGATATGGGGTGTGTGGTTGGAGCTGTGGGTGATGCATCGCAAGCCACCGATGGTACCTCTGTAGGCGCAGGCTTCCTGTGGCTGGCCACAGTGACAGGCAATTCGGAAACCGGATGCCGTCGCGCAAATATAGTCGAACGCGTTTCTATTGCACGTCATCGGGATATTTCACAAGTGGACAGAAAAGCGTGGTGGACAAGTAACCTTTATTAGAATATTTTTTCAAAAGGGAAAAAACCACTGAATTATTGTACAGTATACCACTTGAATTGTAACGTTCTTGTAACGTACTTGTAACTGAAGCATACAAAAGTCCTTTCTTCAGAAAAGCATGACCTTTAATTTATGAAGTAAAACATAGCGCATCCTACCTGGATAGCTATAGATACTAGCGCTACTGTAAATTATTGTTGAGTAAAGTAACTAACCTCAGTTGCATATTACTTTGCGCTGCCACTCCAGTCAATTTTGCACTGATGAATCTAATTTAGACAAGAAATATTTGCATAGCCGATGTAAAAGCCGTAGCTATACAGAACATCCACCCATTTCCTTTTGGAACCATATCGAAACCGAATTGCGCGATTAAAGTTACTACCCCAACGACTTTAACTTGACTGCTTCTATTAAAGTTGGTTTCTAATAGTTCGTCGATTTATCCTCTTGTACATCGGTCTCGTTATATTTGACTGTCCTTTATGTACACTCTTTCCGAACTTGTGACCCCGTCTGGTGCCCTGATAAACGCTTTGTGCGGACCTCATTATACTTCCTGTGCTCGTCGGAGCAGTAACTTCACGTGTTTGCGTCACAAAGTTCGTACTCATCGTGTGAGCTGTTTTCAGCTCGGCCCGTTCGTCCGCGATCGGAAACTTATGTACGGATTTCATTACACTTCACTCTTGAATGCGACAGGCGCTGATTGCCGTTACACACCGAAGCATCCTCACGTCATCCTCTGTGTCGATACCATCTTCCTTTTCTAGTCGATTTTGAAAGTTTACTGACAATTTCATTTTCAACAATCATCAGGCCTGAGGTACATTCCACATTATTTTGAATGGCAACGAGCTCTTCTGCATTAATGACATGGATTTTGCGAGAGCTGATGTCGTCCTCAGCGACGACGGCGTTATCAGAAAGTGCATTGGATGCCCTTCGACTGAAACCAACATGCCAAAAGCGTTTTAATAATTGGAAGGCCATTTTGAACTTTACGTTGTGTGATTGGATTGCGACGCGCAACCTCAATGTGGACCGTGATTCAGTTTGAAGTGATCCTTGTTCACTGCAATCACTGGGACCGTAGCAGAAGCAGATGGAAATAAGTTGTTCCCGTGTTTTCGGGCTGCAAACATCTAATTTCCACAAGCTTTTATTGTTGTACCGGTAACCTGTCTCCAACATTTTGAAACGAACTGAATTTTATCGAGCACAGAAATCTTGGCGCTGACATCCACCGCCGTTGTGTTCCATGTGGTGAAGAATTCGGTCCATAATTTTCTTTCTGTAAGGGATTTTCAGATCCATAATCAAACGTTGGTCCATGCGTTAAAGAATGCTGATCGTGTGTGCCGGCAGAAATCCCACGTATATGTTTTTCAGTCCTTCTACCTGTGGATGTGCAGTGCAATCATCCAACAGCAACATAATTTTTCTGTCACTTTGGCCTACCTCCTTGTCTCATTTGAGCACCCACTTGGCGAAAAGTTCTTTCGTCATCCAGGCACTTTTGTTAACTCTGAAAGTTACGGGGAGTGTGTCCACCTGCACGCAATTGCAATTCGCGGTTTCTTTTTCTAATTGAAACCAGTTTTCCATTATCCGTGTGTGACATACGTGCAGCACAGGAGAGTGATCTTATCCATGGTGTTTTTTGGATCCGCTGAGCTTGTCGGCAGAAACACACAGAACCCTCTGTAGTTGCACGGTAAATAAGACCTGTTTCATTTACATTAGACACTTTGTCATCCTCAAATGCATGTAAAAGTTAAGGCACTTGACCATTCAGACAATTTTCACAGACTGCCCTGTCTGCGGAACTCTTAGGCACGCGCACGTTTATACACAATTTGATTTCTATTTTGCCATCTTTGCAACCATCCTTCCGTTACAGCAACGGTTTATCCAATTCTTTCCCCGAATTCTTTAGCCTTTTTCTTCAGAAGCGAACCTGTTATGGTCTGGTTGTGCTCACGAACCGATATCATCCAGTCTTTCAATGCAGTTTCAACTTCATCTTTTCCACATCGCTCCCTTTTCTGAGAGCTTGCAGTGCCATGCGACAAATTCTGCCGGGGTTCCATTACGCTAGCAATCAACCTGGCTAGGGTACAACGGGAAATGTGTTAATCACATGACAATTTGGTCTACGAGGTTCCTTGTGGTTAGGTTTTAATTTTCTCAAAAATGTTCAACTTTTCCTTCAAGAACAAATCCTTTCTGTTACTGGCCATACTTGTGCGTAACCGGTAGAGTATTGACAAATGTATAACTGAAAGGTTACCGGACTTCGCTCAGTTGAGTTTTGCATAGGGCAGTTGGCTTGTCGAGAGCAGTTTGTATTGAATGAAGTTGGTCAGTAACGCCGCCGATGACTTCGGCTTTCTTAACTCGCGAGCTGTGGGGTAATCAAATGAAAGTCGGAACAAGGGCGTAAAATTGGCAAAGCGACAACAGCAGCCGACGCATCTGAGCAATTAAGCGCTAGGACGACCCTGGCAATGGTCAATTGACGGTGAAATTCTGGCATATGTATAAGAAAAGAGTTAGTATTTTGAAAAACGACTTTAAAGAGGGTGGGCAATATAGCGGGTTCGTATATATATATATATATATATATATATATATATATATATATATATATATATATATATATATATATATATATATATAGGCTGTTTCCTATCTACCGACGTTCCTGCTTTCATGTGGTTCTTCCTTTACTTCAGTCAACTAAACTCACTCCAGCGCAGTCGGGTATTAACCAATCAGCTTCAATGCACTGACAACCAATCGTCCGCTCCGATTGTTTGCGGCGCTCTATCTACTTACGTCGTCAGGTTAATCTGTCTGATGCCTTTGATTACATACTAAATTCACACACTGGAGTGATGTGCTAATTCATGCTCATTTGGCCCCTTCTGTGTACCAAAGGACAAAGGGTCGCTTACGATATTCCCTCTTCGGGGGGGGGGGGTGTAATCCACGGAGCCGATTCTCACCGAAGCGTTCAATGGTGAAAACAGCACAGGGTCTTAACACGTCACTGGGATGCACACATTTCTGAATAACACTGTAGTACTCAGTGGAAAATACTGCTGTGCATGTGAGGAGGTAAACAAAACCATTTAAAGACAATTTTTATGTGTGCTGCATCATCTCTAGCACACTGTACTTGCATTCTCTTAATACTGCGCAGTAAAGTCAGCTAGTTACCACAAGCAAGCTAAACGTGTCCTCCGTGTATCTTTCACTGACGCCGACTTTTGAAATTTCACTGTTGTGTCTCCACGCGCAAACACAGCGTGGTGAATAACAGGAATCATTGAATTTCTTTGCACTCATTCTCTGGCTATCGAATAAAGAGAAGACTGTTTGCTGGACTCACGCTTTCCTGTTTTACATCCTTTCGCGCTTCTCTGTGCTTTCACATGACTCGAGTTAACCAGTGTTCAATAATGGTTTTGTCTTTGTGTATAATCTCACTTTTACCAGTCTAGCTGAAGTATTTTATTATACGATGAAACTGCACTCCTTTTGTGCTAATGTGCACAGATGCCTTCTTGTGCTATGAGAATCCGGTACTACTATGATTGTTTCCACCACAGCCCTTGAAGAATGGAACTGGAGCCGCCGCATCCCACGAGAAACAGCAACACGATCTATCCTCATTTGGTACATCGATTGGAGTCCTACTGTCCTGCTTGGGTTGCGTCGTTGGTACGGGCAACATCTGGCGATTTCCGCGTATTATTGCCACAGTCAGTAGCCCGCAAGGTACGTTAGTTCTCTCAGTGACGCATCCATAGCCCATACTCAATATACATTACGCGAACTTTAGTATATCCATTCCGCTCACCGACGTGCTTTACCTCTCAAATGCAACGCTTTCCCTTGGCAGGAAGTCTCACTTTCTTGATGGCATGGGCTATGTCCCTGTTCTTCTGGTCGCTACCCCTCAGCATCGTTGAATACTCGCTTGGCCGATTTTGCCGAACATCTCCGCTGGGGGCTTTTCACAGATTTCTGGGCAGTAAACTCATTTGGTTAGGTGGTTGGATTGTCGGTGTCACATTTATGATAACGTAAGTGTTGTTTGTGCTATGTTTCAAGTTACTAGCGATATCGTGAATGGGGCTTAGCCGCGGAATGTTTGCCTTTTTCCCACTAACTACTGGCTGTTGACTTCAGCATCCCACCAATGATCAGCTGCTGTATAAGCAATCCTCGCGGATGATCGAGAAAGCTGGAGTACGTTAGAAGTGCTCTAGTTTAAGTTCGTATGCTGGACAGACGGTAGCCGTATGCTAACGCTTTACACTAGATTGGAATCTAACAATGCCGCAGAAAGCTGCGTCCTTTTCTGAATCTGGTGTAGGCGTACCGCTTTTGACGTTTCACGAAATCCCCAAACTCTTTGGTGTAGACCATGGAAGATGAGGGCGGAGCTAGATTCTCATGTAAATTTTGTGAAATTTTGTTTCCGGCAATGGAAGTTTGTTGCTTTTGGGAGGAAAGCGACACGTTTTTATTTGCTGCCACTATACTGAAACCAGTGAGCCGGGGTGGAGAACACAGGTTACGTTACTTTTAGCGTGTGTTCCACTGTTAAACTACGCCTGGGAGTTTACCATCTGGTCTTAATTCATTGTGCTAAATAGCGTGAAAATTATACCTGTTTTTTTATCCTGGACGCTAAGTGACTGAGAAGCACTCACCATAACAACGTCTGTACTTTGGATAATGAGCAAATGCATAAGCTTCTCGTTAGCGCAATTCCGCCCTAACTCGTGTCGTTTAACGGCCCACTGGTGCCTCACTTGCGGATGGTCCATTCGACACTTTTGACTGTCCAGTGTTGGGTAGTACGGTTCCGCACCGACTACAGCAAATTGTTTCGGTTCAGATTGACGAGGGCCATATCGGCTGGCCATCGTCCTTCTGCTGGGATACGAGTAGTGTTTCTCGGCGCACTGTGTCAACTTTCGGCACACATAAACAGCAGCATTTCCCTTATGTTTTATTAGGATGCGATCACTTGCAAAACGATTAGGTTCAGTACATTTTGGAACTTTTCCAGGGTGATTTCTGTTATTGCCCGTTTGGGGATTCGCAGTAACCGACCGGTAATTTGTAAACAGGGCAGAGGGGCACACTTTGGATTACATCTGCTTACCTAGTCTGTCACAGTGACTCACTAGCATGCACTACATAGAGCTAGATCCTAAAAATATTCGTCGGTTTTTCCGACGAAAGCATTCATTGACATGAAACAACCTTTTCATTGGGATGATTTCCTAACCTGTTCAATTAGAAGTTGGATCGGGAAATCCATCGGTTGGTACATACATCTCCGAAAATTCAATACAGACAACTTTATGAATGCTTGTTTTGGCCTTTTGTCCTTCTTATCAATCAATATTTGTCTTTACTAATGTTCGTTGCATTTATACAGGGGCGCTTGCCAATTTTGTTCTCACTGTTGTTTCTCTCTCCGTTCGCATTCGCGCAGTTTTGCCTGGTCAGCAGCAGCAGCAGCAGCAGCGTCCCGACGCAAGCAATCGTCGCTTGCCTAGTTCGACGTGGACGTAGCCTCGAGCACAGATGTACACTCCGTTCTGGCGCCAGAGGCGCTCAGGTGCTGTTTGTGTGCCGTTATACTAATCTTGTGTTTGCTCACCCATCATATGCACTAACCGAAATTGAATAAGCTTCTGTTCTCTCTATGGATAGTGGTCATCTCACTTCATACGGTAGCTGTTTCCATTTGTAGCGCTAAACAATCATTTTTGGGAGAAATCCAGCGGCTTGCCGCAGAGTACGTGGCCTTTCGCTGGCCTACACGAGTGGTTCTACGAACCCACTAGAAGCTGTGTTTTCTCAGCGACGGACCTCGTCTAGCTGTACCCTTCTTTGCTAGATTTTTACTACACTTTGAACACTAATGGGCTTTACTACAGCTCATTTGGCGAAAATGCGGTATTTAAACCGTTTCTACTCCCAGCTGATGGAAGCGTGCACATTAATTTATGTTAGAGTTTAAGCACCTAAACTAAGTGGCAAGATTGCCTTAATCTTGTTGCTAAATCAACTCACCAGTTGACGGGTAGAGAGAGTTTATATCCTCTAACACACCAAATGCACAGTCTTGATTTGCAGTACATTTATATTGCTCAGTAGTCACTTGTAACCCACTGTTCCTCTTCCTGTTCTCTTCAGTGCCTATTTTTCCGTGCTCGTTGGCTGGTGTCTGTATTATCTGTACAAATGTTGTGTGTTACCCAGCCTACCGATGGATGAGAGAAGCAGTACAGCCATCTTCAACGCGTTTGCAATCGTAAGTGTGTTTCCTGGGCTGTCTTTGCTAGCTACTTATCTCCCAAATTATAAATTGCGATTCTTTCTCTTTTGGTTACATCACTGAGGCACGTAGCTCCAAGTTTGTGGAACTCTACGTTACAGGCGTGCTACTAAGGCCTTCTTTTGCCGCTTCTCTTAATATGGGAAGTCAATCTCACTAGTTGATGCCGAGCAAACTAGTGTTCTAGCTCCTTGTCCATATTGTTACTGCTGTCACTAAATCGGACAAAGGGTATGATATTATATTTCGACACATCAGACACGATCCATCAATACAAAATCTTTTGAATGCATGTAGCTCGGATTGGTGATTCAGTTGTTGATCTGCAAATTCGTCAGGTTGTTTGCGAACGTTTCCACACCAATCGAGGTGACATAATCAGTGCAGCGTTTGACAAAACATAAGTCAGGACATGAGGCGCGATAGGAAGAGGGTTGGAAGTAACTTGTTCCGCTGCAAAGAATTCACTTGACACGCATGTCTACGTCGGCTCGGTATTCCAACCACACTGACAGAAAGAAATGGAACGAATTTTCAGACAGATCCAGTACCAGCAACGGAAAGGATAATCATCATAAACCTATCGCCTGGTCTCTACACGTCCTAAGGCAATGGAACCGCGAGAGTCTCCTCACCTCGGATCACCATGCTTGTTACAGATCAAAATCAACCTAATTACATTCAGTACCCCGATGAACAGCCAATCCTGATGAAACGCACTTTATATCGTGGATAATCTCTATACACACTGGGCAGTAATATTGGTTGCGTCCATTCCTGAATTTGGCTGGCTTGATTTTTCGCGACTAAGCTACAACCTACACTGCACTGATGATGCCAACTTGATTGGTGACGAAACGTCTGTAACCAAATTGGTATGCTCGGTGAACAAATGAACAATGACGGTTGGATGATGCACTCATCCACATACATTTTGCCACTTAGTACTACGTCTCCATCCTACACTTGGACTTTGCCATGAAATTATTTGATGTTAACTGCGTGTGCTGTGAATATAAGCGGATTGCAGAACTACGGCGGAGCAAACGATAAGTCCTCATTTTCACATTTAAAGTACTACCAGTTTTCTTCTTCTTCTTCTTCTTCGTCTTATTATTATTATTATTTTTATGTCGATATCCCATGAACTATGCAACGGGTCTAGTAAAGCAACGCTTCTTAACCCGTATAAATTCATCGTTCATTGAACTGAAACGAGCGCAGTATATAAATTGTTAAGATTTGTGGTGAAGCTCCAGAAGTTGGTAGAAAATAAGGTCACACGGGACGATATGTCAAGCACTACTATCATTCTGGAAGGATTTGCCGGTAGTTTGCGTCTTTGGAGTTGACAGCACCAGAACTGAATGGATTGTAATAGTCACTGTATATTGGCAACCTCCTATTCCTGTGACTCACCTGTATCCGCTTTGACCACAGGCGCTCTGGTGACATCACTACTTTTGTAGGCCGGGACTGTTTTCAACAACCATGTATTCATCCAACACATCTGCCGCATAACCATTGTGCGGCAGTTTCTTGCTTTCGGAAAACATCAGCAGTGCGCATTCCATCTGCGCAAACATGCCAAGCAGCCCTGGACTGATTAGCACTGGCTGTCTATCATTTTGAGCTATGCTGTGCTCCATCGAATTTGTCCGGGAAAAAGTAAGAATTCCCTTGGAAATCCACTATTTTAGCGATTAATCAATTATTAACGATTATAGCATCGATTTCGAACGTTACGGAATGTTCTACTTCTGCACGCGATTAAAAACCACCTGACACCTCGGCAAAAGATATGGGAACCACTAACCTTGGTAGCTGACCTTCCAATTCTAGAAGCCGGAGGTCAGTAAGAGACCTACAAATGCAGCCAAGGTCCACAGCAGTTGTAAAGGGTTCGTTGGCGGCGATTAATATGTTACTTTGTCAAGGTAATTGGCGTTTTGCTTTTTCCTTCGGTTGGGCTAGAATTTTTGTGGAGCAGTAAATTGTTATTTTTGGAATTGCGTCTAGTGAGAAGATTATAACAGAAATGCAAAGTACTTCTCCAAGATTCGCAGGCACCCGCCCCTGTGCTAACGCTTTGTGGTGATCTGCTAGAAGTCGTTCAGGAATTCAAGTATTTGGAAGGCTATATTAGCGCCCGAGGGAACGAAGATGTGGCTAGAAACCGTATAACGAAAGCTCGAGGTACTCTTTCCAGTCTCTGTCACCTGTCGCTCACACTCGACATTACTCTCGCCCTGAAGGGCAGAGTTTATAACGCAGCCGTCCGTAAAACTCTCCTATATGGTTGTGAAACTCGGCCCATCAGGTCGACAGACATAGAGAGGCCCGCCATATTCGATCATCGCTGCCTTCGCAACTTAGCTCATGTCTGTTGGGAGCATCACATGAACAGTGAGAGTGTTCGGCATCGCGTATTTGGTGCAGGAAGAGCGAGTGAAACGCTCAGCACCATTCTATCACGCACGAGACTGCGATGACTGGGCCACTTGTTGCGCACGCCAGCAGACCGACTCCCGCGACGTGCATTGTTTGCGCGCCGGGGGTGCAGTTGGAAGAGGATGGGGGAGGCCAAGCGATGACTTGGTAGAGAGGAATGAAAACCCTCACTTCGAAACTTGGCGTAGGTTGGTGTATCTCGACTGCCGGGATGGGGACGGGAGGACGATGAACATGTTTGGTTGGAAACACTTGCTCCTATGACGAAGAGGCGACCGCCATTTCGCTTGTGTTGTGAGTTTCTCCATACCTCTCTGTTCAGTTTCCCCCTCCAATCCCGATTTCATGCACTACGCATAACATAATATATAATATCATATTTTTATAGTGCAATTTATGTGATTTGTTGTGTAATTTTTTAGTCTCATCTTTTTATATTGCAGCACGTTAGCTGATGTGTGTTCCTCACCCTCAGCTAACGTGTACTGATAATGTTGATGACGATGCCATCTGCCTGCCCCTGCGAGGATAAAACCCTCAACCCTTCTCGTAACACTCCCACAGGGGTCGGATGGAATGCACACTGCTCACGTGTTCCAAAAACATGGAACGACCCTCCAGTGGTGGCTGACTGAGTCCAGTTATGATGGATTTCGACTTCTCTCATCTGAAGCAGGGGCCTATCTTAGGCCCCTTAGGATTGTTGACCTCAGCGCCGGAGTTGTCACTTACACCACCCGTTGTGTCGCCATCATTTTTCGAGTATTCTTCATATTTGTTTTGGATGCTGATACCAAAATTGCAAACGCTGTTCCAAACGAATGAGGGTTTGATTCGTGGAGTATTGGTCGCGTTTTTTGAACTGCGACATGCAATGTTAAATTGGGTTACAACCTGCGTTAAAACTAATCCCTCGATCATTTCGATTATTCGGCGTGCTCCTGGTGGTAGCACAATCGTAGCAACAATCATAGAGAACTGACTTAAACAGGATGCCCGTCTCGTTCGAAAAAAACACGTTATGTTTACTTGATGGCATTTATTTTACCTACGATAAATACATCACTGCTGTACATACACACCACATCGTGACTGATTAATCATTAGAATAAAGGAAATCGTTCAACTACATGGTTAGGCGAAGTCAATTTTGGCGGGCTAGGTTTTGCGTTAATGTCCAATGCCGCGCATTTCAAATGTCTAACCTCTACTGCAGGTCCTTTTTACCACATTCAGTCACGTATCGCAGATAATGCGCTATCCATAGGTAAAAGTGTAGTGACAATGTTTATTCCTAAAACAACATGTTAAAGGGAAAGTTAAACGGATAAGATCAAATTTTCGTTTCCTCACGAGGCACGTTTCTGACCTGTTTAGCCTTATGTTGTTTTCAAGCTCTTTTACAGAAGTGCCCAGCAAGCCAATCACGAAATGAACTACACCATTTCCCGGCCAAGTTGTCCTCTCGGGCAGCTGAAATAATCTAAGGGGCATTCAACATGAGTCTACTCAATTAATTTGTTCCGTGCATAGGAGCTGTAGCGTCCCACCTGCACCCCTATGACTTTGCGTCTGAGGTCCAATTGGCTGAAGGCGACGGGTTATGCACTCACACCTACACACCTGCACAAGTGACTGGCTTACGCACGGAACAAATTAATTGAGTAGACTCATGTTGAATGCCCCCTCAGATTATTTCTGTTGCCCAAGAGGACAACTTGGCCGGGAAATGGTATAGACAAGTGCTACCGGGTGGGCAAGTTCAAACTAGCCAGGTATAGGACGCATTCAGAATGACCAGCAGAGCAGTGACATGAAAACTAAGCTGGGTAACATCAAGCTTTTGCCATCTCATGGGCCACGAGCCTGTCTTGTTCAGACCCAACGTTTAGAACGCCAATCAGGGGCCTTTGGAGTCGAGGTGTTAGCTAATTCACCATTTCCTCACCAACCCCTGGGTGCGAATAAACCTTTCCCCACAAAATCGGACTTGTTCCGCTGAAGTGCAGCATGTTGTCTAGAGCCATCGATGCCTATTCACCACTTATAAGTGGTGAGTTAATTGGTGTTGATCTGGGGTTTTCTTTACTATGACCTAACACACAGATGATGGGTTGTGAAAGGAATGGCCGTTGGCCCATTTAAATGGTTCGTCGCACTCCTCTGCATCGACTTGGAGGCAGTGGTTAACTTGGCTGCCCATATCTGTCTGCAATAATGCCTAACGGCGCAAAGGAATTCACAGTTCTCTTCTGTTGTTACTCTTTGCTGTTACTCTCTTCAATGGGAGCTCACTCCCTTCCGTAACACCAGGGTTAGGCACTGTTAACGGAACAACTGAATCAATCAGCCATTCATCTATAAGTAACGCAACGGTATATATGGAAATGGGATGAACCAAACGCGATGGAATTGTCCTTCAAAATAAGTGGCAATCGTATTGTTTCCGGGCTTCCAGATTGTCCAAACACACACAAGCCCTTGCACATGTGCATCGCATTGGTCGGGAGCACGCTGTACCGTCA